ACATGGTATTTTTATCTATCGACTATTTTGATAAAAAAGATTGATATCTACAGCCTTGAGTTCTCAATGTACCGAAAAGGCTAATATCATAAATTTTCAATACCTTGACACGACAGATCATTGTTTTTGAAAGTCTTCGGCAGACCTTGACGATGACATAAATTCACGATATTATAAATCCACGAAATTGTCTAGATTATAGATTGTCGATATCGCACATCGCCTTATTCTAAATAGATTCGAAATTTTTATAGTACCAAAGATTCTCGATGTCATTAATTTTCGCTATTGGTCGCTTTAATGTTATAACATTTTCAGTCAATCAAAATACACGTCGTAAAGAAGCTCGAAGATAATGCATTTAAATGTAATAATCTAGTAGTGTAAAAGTAGCATTCTTTAATACGGCACTACTAATGATACTTAGATTCCTTATAAATTAACTGTATTATGTTTCATAATGTAATTCTGATTTCATTGAAGTATAATGCAAATTTTCCATCTATTCAAAGTTTTTGTCTCATCGCGCGATATTGAGATTCATTCGATTTTGTCCCTCCGCACGCCAGAACGGATCAGAAACTCGACCGTTTTCACGCCTGAGAAAATCTTTATTGTCTAGGGCGGATTGGTTCGTCTGGAGCGGAAAGTCACGCGAATCGACGCACAAGGAAGAGGAAACGAGAAATCGACTTAATTGCGAACGCCGTTTGGTACTTCTCTATGTACAATAAACTATAATGCATAACTGATTGCTTCTATTTGGCCTCTTTCTGTTCTGAATTTTCCTGACATCTTCATTTTAATACGTTTACTAATTTTATAATAATTATCTACATACATCAATTATGATATGCAGAATTTTAATATCAAACTAATAATATAAGAATAATAAAATGTATTTCAGATTTCTTTTGCAATTCGTTATACTTATTTGTAATAAAATTTTTTTCCCGATTTTTTCATTCTGACAGAGACTCGCCATTCAATAATTCTTTTATGGTGAGCAGCGTGCGCTCTCAGATGCATGTCGATCGTGTATGACATAAATATGCATCGCGCTCGGCGCGTACGGAGCGTTACTAACAGGGCGTTAATTATGAATGAAAATAATACGCGCTTCAATCTCGAAACACACTTTTCTCAGCGTCAAGCCATCCGGTTCAACGACTCTTGCTGTCTGGTGGCAGAAGCACGCTTTGTTTGCACAGAAAAATATCGCGCACTCATGAAAACAAATAAAACGTCGATAACCACAGCAAGCGATTTGTACGTTTATCCGTATTTTCAGCCATATCGGCAATTAATCGGGACGATTCTAATTTCGACTGAGTTAGATTTTCTCAGTTAAAAGTCAAATAAACGTGAAAATTCTTCACAACTTTTTATTTTTAATTTTTAGAGTTAAAAATTGAAATCTTCAATTAAAATTATAATAAAACGTACATATAAAAACTCTACGTTTCGATAAATATTTTTTTTACAGCTGACACATTCTTGCCACGCGTATCTAGGCGGGATCTATAGTAGCGTGCGCGTTCGCATGAATACGCGGCAAAATTTGATCACTCGCCGAATCTGCGCAAGGTATCGCAATTCGAGAGACGTCATTGCATAACGTAATGATCTGGTAATCGGTCACGTGGATTTGCATCGGACCGGGCCGGCCGCAAATCTCCGCTACGTGACGAATTCCGCTATGAGCGGGTTTTGCCGCGTGTTGCTCCGTCCGCACGCGCAGCGCTAAGCTCCTCGCATTAGTTCGCGCGCTTCTGCAATCGACGCAGTTTGTTTGCCCCGTGGCGAACGGTGCGTCGCACCTCGTGCCAGCACGAGGACGGCTAAATCGAACGTGTAGCAGTACTGCGTAATACCTCATTAACATTCGAGGAAATAAAGGTCGCGCCGTTTATAGATACTTCTTTTTTTCTGCTTTCGCGACAGTACAAACTCGATCGGGAAACACTTCATTATATTCATTAGCGTTTTTGTTTCAAAGATAATCGGTTTTGTCAATCAAAACTTTTTCTCTCTCGAGAACGCTAACAGGAAAAAAAAAATATTCCAACGAATGCAGAATGTGGAATAATTTTCAGTTACGTTTAGCGAAGATTCTCTTTCGTTATTTTAATCACAAGTATCCTTGAGCAAAACAAGTATGCTTACTTATTCGCCGGTTTTAAACTGGTTTTTAATATGTATTTTTAATGGTATGTTTACGAAAAACTGAGCTTTTATTTATTCTTCATGGTTTCGAAGTTGCCTGTGCGCGATCAGCGTAGTTTGCTTTGCATGGCGTGCGTGCAAGGATGCACGTATCAAATGTACGCCCCTTCTGCTGCTGCCGTTCCATGTTAATTGCACGCAGCAATCATTTTAACATAGCAATTATGTGAATGCTATTTAGATTACATTGTGAAAATTCCCGGGGAACTATTATTTTCTTGTTTCTCTGCAACTTCTCGCTCTAGACAATTTTCATATAAATTTAACTTTGAATGCCGCTTGTTAATCCTGTTTTATCTCAATGCGATTTATCGATCGCAATCACAGTGCAACATTTCCATCGCAATTCTCGATAAAATTATCGCGCGACGGCATTTTTTGTTAATACATATTTTTAAATATCTGGGCTTATCGCGCCGCACGTGCCTAGGACTATAATTATGTGTATCCTTCTCGTAATATCGTCTTGCCACGAGTTTCGTTATGGTTCCGAGAGATTATCGTTATCGTTGTTTCGATGACTGTACCCAAGTATCGCCTCGTCCAAGGCCGCGCGCAAAAAGTTTTTTTATACAAGATACGCGTGTCAATCTTTATGTGCAAAGCGCACTGCGGCGAACTCGTTTAAAAATACCGTTTTGTACCGGTACCAGGAAGCAAAATATCGCATCGTATTGCTTTATTATCAAATGTTTTTCCGACATTGAAAAATACATATAATAAAGAAGAATAAAATTGCCATGTGCCTCGTAGTTAAAGTTAAAATTAAAAAAAAAAATAATTTCTGTTATTACTTTAATTACAAATAATGTTTAAAGTATTCCCAAATATTGCGTTCAACACGATTGCGTTAAATCTAAACTGAGTACCGTAAATTTAACCGAGTGTGTCCAAATGTTTATTCCCGCGTTTCCTTTCGGCATTTCATAAATTCCCGTGTTTTCTCTTTAACGAAAATTCAACGCTGATTCAATATTGAATAAAATCATTCAAATCGAGCCGTGCCAAGACGGACCTTCGAACCACGAGCGCGACTCCATTGAAAATTCTCGTTTGGTCGCACATCTCCGGAGGGAGAGCAACAAGTGAGCAAACATCCGTGCTGCGGATCCTCGAGTCCGCGCGAAATCGCCGTACGATCGAACTAATCGGACAGAAACGCGCCCCAAAGCTGCCAACGGAATGGCAGGAATGTCGTGACATGCGTACGCCCGACCGCTAAAAGACGAAGTCGGGATCAATGGCGCGTGACTGCGTCGAGCTCGACGAAAGTGTGTGCGTGTATGCGTGTGAAGCGGAGATATAATGGCCGAACAGAAGAAAAGGGAAAAACGCTCCCCCTCGCGCTCGTTCGCTCACCTCCCCCGAGTAGAACCCCGGCTATTTTCGATAGATCGACTTTTTGTCCGATCGTAGAAATACCGGAGTGCAGATGCTCCTCGATTGAAAATGCGTGGATGAAAGAAATTGTGACTAAAATAAGGCGAAAAATGTAATCAAATCGCTTAAAACGTCATCAGCCTCTGAAGATATTTAGCACAATTAAATTTTATTTGAAAATAGAAATAAACAAAATTTACCAATAATTGTATTGTTCAATTACGCATATATGAATAAAAATTATCATTTTCTATATTATTATATTGAATTGAAAGATTCGATCATTTAGTACAGTGAAAAACAAAATCGTGATTGTTACGCGAGTTGTCACTCGACGTGCTGATGCGGATGAAAACTTGCTGATTCCGCAATAACAATCCGTATAAAGGCAACAACAATATGTGACGATGACAGCATGGAATAAAATTACTCGACATAAAACTGTACTTATTTAATATCACTGCTTTGTTAATAATTCTGTTGTTAACATAAAATATTTTAAACTTGCTTTTGGTAAATTGCATTTCTGATCAAGTTGCAAATCGAATTTACGATATAATATATTCTTAATTAGAATTATTAGATATCAATTAGAATAAATAGAATTAACATATAGTATCAGTTTTAGCAAAATTATTTATTTTTGGTCGACGATTTTATAATCTTAATTTCGCCCGAATTGCATTAGAATTTAATATATTAATCAATACTGATTTTATATTAAAAAAGTACTCGCGTATTTCGTTTCAGAAAACTGTTTCAAAAATTTCGCGATAAATATTTCTTTGTAACACAAGAATCAAAATTTTTACGAGAATATATCGTATTTTTATGTTAAAGCTCGTCGATAAGCGAGCTATTTTGATTGAGGTATTTTCTATGCATTCTATATCTTCTTCCTCCTTGTTTCTTTTCGCGCAATCGTGAAACAAGCGCATTCTGCGAATTGTTGGCGCCACGTCAGAATGACTCGCGCCGGCTGATGATTTGCGATGTGCCGAGCGCTAATTGAAGGCGCGTGATTAAGGCGGCAGAGAGTATATATACTTCATGTAGAATCTGTATTCGCAATTTAGCAAAAAAAAAAAAAAAAAAAAAAATGTTCCCGCGATCGAGAGTCGCGTGACGTACAATGAAAATTGACGCCGTGAAACATTATCAAGTCGAAAATCGTAAAAATTTTTATACTACGCGTTCATTTATAAAATGTTTTTGTAAAACAGTCAAACACAACGCGCAAATAATAATCCATCGAATCCCAATGCACGTTTTCAGAAATGAATCGATTAAGAAACCCGTGAGCTAAAAAGAATATTCGCTACGCACACCGAGATGCGACGGTCTTAAAGAGAGGAAAAAAATGACGACAAGATAACGACGGGACTTTCTTTTACCTCCGTCTTTTCGACTGCTGGGTCTCCGTGTGGGTTTGCTGGATGTGATGGGGCGATAGGTCGGACCCGTAAGACAGAAGCTGACTTCCGGCGGTGGCGGAGCAGGCAGGCGGGGGTGGCGGCGGCGGCGGCGGGCCCAATTGATAGCCCACCGTGGCCGAAGGGGTCGCGTAGTGCGAGGGGCCCGGTCCCGGGCCCAGGCCGACCCCGTAGCCCGCGCTTCCCGCCGAACCGCCACCGTACATGCCGCTGCTACCGGGATACTCTATTTTGGCGGCGTGTGTCCCCGGTGAAGCAGTGAAATAAAACGTATCACACTCTCGTAATCACCTTTGAATCACCGGTGAGTTAGCTCACCATATTCCGAGATTATTCGTTGACGCACTTTCGCAGCGATATCGTTGCACGTTTTTGTTAGCGTTATTAGGTCGCTCTTAAAGCACCGAAATTATCCGTCGATCTTCTATTCACAGCTTCCGATATAGCGAAAATCCGTGCTTGTATATTTCTTGTTATACTGCAATTTGTTGACGTCTTCAGATCAGCAAGACACGCACCGAATGCATTGCACACTTTTTGAACTCTGCGCGCGATAAAACGCGGTTTCCGTACTTGTTTCTTTATCGCGTCTCGTTATTTTGTATTTCGGGGCCTTCGTGAAATAAAAAAAAAGTAGCTTGATGGTTTAATAGCTCGGCTGCACGATTTCGAGGTTCCTCTGATATAGAAACTCGCTCGACTATGTTGCGCGTTCGCCTTCCACCGAATTATCTTGTCATCTCGTTACCTGGAGCAAGATGTAGATCTACCATCGGTCTACGAAGCAGTTTTGTACTTCACGTTTCCTCTCTTCAGCATTAATCAGGGATACTTCAGGGCCTTCGAAGGCCTTTGTATCTGAATTCTACTCACGTTCCCGCTCGTGTACTTCGCCGATCTTGGAAGAGCGGAATATATTTAAAAAATTTAAACTTTAATTATTTATTCGCTCATTTATTTACGCCCTTCGAGAATTTATTTTACACGATTAGTATCGCGCTCTATTTCAGTGATGACACAGCTCCAAAAGTTGAAATTTTCTATCAGAGATTAATCATTCACGACTGCGCATGTCTGCTCCAAAAATCGGACGACAAACTATCTCTCGCCGAAAATACAATCCAGATAAGAGAAAACGAAAGTGTTTTTATCCAAGATTGTTTCACATTTCGCAGAATCGTCTTTATCTTCGAAATCTAATTTTACTACTATTGCCTTTATCTACTTCGCATGAAGCGATATATGAAAATTTGCAGTCTTCTCTTCCGCACCTTGAATTCCGCGATTTGAGCAACAGCCGTTTTTCTTTCTTTAATAATATTAAATTTCTCGTGTTTCGCCAGTCACGTGATAGCTCGATTAATCGTCCAAGAAAGAAAGCACGGCGAAGAAAAATGCTCGTTACAGAAGCGTGCCTCCAGCGGCGATTTCGGTTTTGGAAAGCGTCAGACCGGCCACTTTCACGAGGCGAACTATTCTATGCACTTCCCACTAAGAGCATGCCTACGCTCTATTAACGACTATTGTTTGTTTCTTTTTTTGCCAGAGTCAATCGTCGTAATCACGGCTTCGAGTCTCGGATCGTTGCGAATCTGAGAACGTCACGAAATCCGCGACCTCGTTGGACCGTCGTTGCACTCGCGCCGAATTCTGCACGCTGCTCCTTTCGTCGCACTGTCGCGCATAATCAGCTGGAAAATTGCGCTAATCTTTCCTTCGCCTTGCGGCTTCCTCAAAGCGACGGCCATCGCGCGGCTGATGCGCTTCGTACGCGTCGCAATCACTTACCCCGCGCAACTTCGATCAAAACCATCCGATCGATTGCGCGGCGAGTTAAGCGAATCGAATTAGCTTATTTTCAAACGAAATGACTACAGAGCAATTTCTTGCGTGATCGAAGCTAGATCCTCGAGTCCTGTTGCTTCACGGAACGTGTGGGCGATCTTTTATCGGGAATGTTTCGTATTTCGACTTCTCCGTTTTCGCTAAAATTATCGTTTGCATCCTTAGAAAGGAGTATCGGATGACAATAAAGAAATCTAATCGCGCACGCTCGAGTATTGATTACACTGGAAATCACATGGCGAACGATGGCAGCGACTGTTGGTCTTCGAAATATGTAGTTTCCACAGTTGAAGCTCAATTTCCGTGTTATGTTTGTTCCGTCATAAAATGAACTCGCGGTACATTCTAAATCAACTCAGCTGAGTTCGCGTAACGAGAAACGCACGCAAATCATGGATGCATCGAATTACCGCGCGAAACCGCGCCGCAAAGTTTCCCAACGATACCGTGGTTGCCCGCGAAGAATGAATTCTTTCCCGAAAATATTCGACAGTGAATTCATTGAATTGCAATAAAATGTTATCATAACACGTGTTTTCCCTGCTTGTTCAGAGTTTTAAATGCCACTAACTTTTCTCGAAGATATCAACAACTAAAATCCTCGCCTCGATTCGATGACGTGCTCGAATGTATTCCTCGTCAAAAATTATCAATGTCTAATTCAACAAAATTTAATCGGATTACTTGATAAGAGACGCATTGCTCATATTTAACGCGAGACATATTCCACATATTTAATTTCCAAAAATGTTCAACCATATTTGATCGCAAGATGTGTTCGATCTTCGTACTCTGCCAGCTTTTAAACTCACTAAAATCGCATAATTGCTGAAAGAGATCGACTTCTTCCGCAAAAATCAATTCAATTCACTAAAATCCAACGGGAGATCACTCGCAGCACACGCATTTACGTTGGAAGCAGTCCGAGTGTGCGATTTTCGGCGCCAAAATCCTCGTCGCGACACGCTCTCGAGTAATGACGCGTCGATCGTGATCGTCGCGGCGCGGTCTCGATCACGATCGATGAAGATCGTCGACGCTGGCGAAGCGACGCGGAGCGACGCGGAAGCACGTTTCACGGACGTATGTATGGACGTATGTACGGACGGACGGACAGACGGACGGACGGACGGATGGGTCGCCGACTAGCCACCACCCACAACTCGCCAGTGACTGATTCCACCATAGCCGCATAATGTGCTGCTGCGGTATACCCCGGTGAGGACTATCACTTCTCCCACCAGAGAGCCCCGGACAGCCACCGTTGCGAAGCATGACTTTTAACCGGGATGCATCGCGCTGCTCGCTCGCTCGCTCGCTCGCTCGCTCGTTTGTGACTAAATCGGGGATGAAGAACCCCCTTCGGGAAGTCCCTTTCGGAGTTCGATCCGAGGGAAAGTTTTATTTTCGCGTCCTAACTTTTAAAACTCCTCGGATTGTTTATCGATTCGCTAGCGTTATAAATGCTACTGTGATTCTGATCGGTGATAGTCTTAAATAATTTTTGTCGACTTTTTATGTTCACGCGTAAGATGTATTACATGTATTTTAAATTACATGTAGTGCGAGATGATTTTTCATTCAGAAGCATCGCGCTGTTTTTTTTTTAAATAGGAGCAAAATTAAACAGCCAGAAAGTTTTAATATTTCAAAAAATTCGAACTCTACGTTTGTGCGATGCAAGAAATATTGCGTTTATATTTTTAACCACGTTTAAACTTTTTTTAGAATAATCTAAAATTTTTATAATTAAAACTTGGTAATAATTATTCTCTTTCTGTGATTATTTCCATACTTCTCTTTCAGCGTTATAAATATTCAAAATTTAATTACATTTTTATGATACAATAATAAAATTAATAAGAATAAATGTATATTAAAATAAATGCAAATGATCGTAAAGTATACAGCGAGTTTATTCGCTGATCGCGAATAGAGTTGAGCCGGCAGGGCCCGACTAATGGGAAATACACGTTATAAAAGGGTCGCGCGACTGTGTTAACACACCGCGATTGACATTTGCGCCTGCTTCGCGTGTCGAAGCTCCCCGACAGAAAAGTGTTTTCGAGAAAGGCTCGTATACCAGTAAAAGTAACGCGGCGCTTACGATAACGAAACGTTTTCTTGAGCGCGATGTCGCAACGAGCCGCTCTCGCTACGGCGCGGCGTATATTAGCCGTGCAGCAGCAGCAGCATTGTAAAAGCCGGGGTAGCGGAGAATTGCCTACCGTGTTATATGTGGCGCGAACGCCGTAACTGATCCCGGCGCTGCATCATTTCTCGGAACTGCGTCAATCAACCGCGACACCAAGTTCGCCGTGCAGTTAAATGCACGGCGAAATTTCACTTCGATCGTTAACACCGAAGTGGTTATTTTTGTCTCTAAATACCTTTCTACCCCTTCCTCTTCCCTCCCCTCCTTCTCACACTATTGTATCTGAAGACTCGATATGAAACATGTGGCAGATGCAATATTTTACACAAAAATCACATTTATCGTTTCGATGATGAAATATGAAGAGAAACAATTCTCTCAAAAGTTTTACTTAAGACTTTTTATACGCTATCAAGTCTTCAGTTATAAAAACATGTCATAAAGTTTTATTTATAGGTTTGAATTGATGTGTATATTCAAATATACGTAAAGTAAATGAACAAAGTATTCATCGTGAGTGTGATTTGATAAATATTATTTCAAAATAAACCATATATCTTTGTAAGACTTACCCTATATGGACAGCACTGCGCTTCTGTGCCATTTTGCTTGGGTCGCTCCCTGCGCATAAAAATGATTCGCATAAGAATAATGGTAAAAAACTTTTTTACAAGACTCAATTTCCATATATAAGATTATGTAATAATTGAGATCTGAATCAATAAGTAAGAGAGTACATATAAAGCTCAAGATCTTTTTGCTTTATTTTAGTTCTATTTAGTTTGCTTTTATTTTAGTTCTATCAATCAACTGCGTATATGTAATTCTCTGAGTCAACTTGTACAACTTATATTCTTCAAAAAAAAACTTCTATTCTTGCACACAATGCTCATTAACATTAACAATCAGAATTACAGTTACTAATGATTACGATTATTGATACATCTGACAAGTTTGAAAACTATATCGATGCGTTGCTGCAGCAACTATGAGTACAATATAACTTCTCTTTCTTTTTCGTCTACATTGAATTCATAGTTGTGAGTTAGAAAAGTATTCTATTCTCACAACGGCTCATTAACTATTGCTGCAACAAACTCTTACCACCAACCTATACCAGCATGAAACAATGCTAACCATGATAGCTAAGCTTCTTATCTAATCTATTGTGCTGTGACCTAAAAATAACCAAAATATCACTATCCCGACTCAATTGCACAAAATTCATTCCACATTTTCACCCTCACACTCTACATGGCAAACTGGAACAATTTACCAAAGGCTGCTAATAGCATCTCGCCTGTATTGCGTGTGCACGCGAGAGCGTGTGGGAAAATCGTAGAAAAATGCTACGTGCCAGAAAACGCATCGTCATATCTTTCGCACGAAAAATAGCACTTTCCGATTTGGGCGCGTGTTTATTCGGCCGCGCGACCGGAAAACGCAAACCAACGTCAAAACGACGGTAACAAACCGTGCGGCGAGTTTACCTGGAATTGAATGGGCGATCGTGGATACCGTGAACATTCAGCCGGGATTTCCTGTTGCCACGATGCGACGAAAAAACGAGGCGCGCGAAAAGCGCGAGCGAATATTGTTGCGGGCGTACGACGGCTTCCACACTCCGCACCGACATCAAAACTGGGTGTTTACACTTGGCAGTCGCGCCATTTTGGACTTTCCTCTCGGCACCAGGGTTTTATTTTCGCACACGAAGTCCACGGGAGCGCCGCGACACGATGGATCGTCATACGAACGGAATAGCTCGAAGCGTCATCTATCAGCGACGCACTGGAACTAACTTGAAAAAAGATGGAGCAGAATGTTTATTAATCTAGCATCGGTCACTTTCATGTTAATTAAATTAATTTAAACCTTTGTCTTCCTTTCTATTATTATTTTTTAGAGCTTTAATTATCGAAATATATTCTCATTTTTGTATAAAAAAATTTATTTAAGTGTGATAAATAAACGGAAATAAATAAAAATATTTTGAAGAATAATTGGATTAAAAAATATTTGAGAAAAATCAAATGGAATAATTCCGTGATGCCCAGTTGAAATAAAATTAATTAATTTAATATATTGTATACATTCACGTGTTTATTAAAACTGCTATAACCGACGGAGGGTTAATATATAATCTGTAAAAATTGGTAAATATTATAAACAGTGCTTCAGAGATGACAGTCCCAATCTTCATTTTCTATACTTTATGATTCAGTAGCGTATCTACAGTTTGTTTTCTAATCAGGTGTAGTATTTAGGAGATTTCTTACTTCGACATAATGCTACTTAATAATAATAATTACTTTTTAGTCTCAAAATATTTTTTAGTTAAACACGACGGAGCTAAAGATAAATAATCCAAGGCTCATGTGTTTACCAACTTAAAATTTTATTTATCCCACGTGTAAGTCGCAGTCAACGTGAATGTACGATGACAACAAAGGCGTGACCTGTGCATTCTCTCGCGCGCCGCTCCTCTTTCTCTTCTAAATTAAAATCTACTCCGGATTAAACAAATTGACCCAAAATACGCGGTAAGCATGGACCAAGGATCCTCTGGCATATGACAGCGAAGCACGACGAAACGTGTTTACCACAACTCGTTCGCTGGGCGGAGGAGAGAGAGGGAACTCGTTTTCATGGTGAAGTGGGAGAAGGTGTCTGGCCGCAAGAGGGGGAAGGAACGTCGAGGGCGAAACTTGAAGTGAAGGGAAGGGCTGCGCGCGAAGCGGCTCGACGCGAACGACGAGGAGCAGCGGCCGCCGCAAGCAAGTCCGTAGTCGTTGGGGCATTGGTGCAGATCTCGGCTTGGTTTACGCCGATTCACGCGACGAGAGAGAGAGAACGCGGCTCTCCAACGGACGCAGAAGCGAGGCGTCCACGCGCGCGCGCCGCTGACGTGCGTGCTTTTCAGAGTACATTCCACAAAGTATCATCATCTGAACTTTCAATACTGTGCGCGAGTGTACGAGCTAACGAGAGAAGAATTTCGGAAAAACGAGCGTTCGAAGTGGATGGTTTTTCTGTTTTTTTTCTGTCTGGTGGATTTCTCTGGTGTAAACGGTGCCACGATAGTCCTTGCCCTCCCTCGGATTCAGGAGAATAGTCGCACCGGTTTTCGGATAACTCGCACACGCGTACACAAGGAAGCAAGGTGTGTATTACACAGTACGTATAACGCCGGTGACTGTCGTCACAATGCTGACGATTCGCATATACGACAGATCGATCGTTGTCCAGGTCAAGCCAGTTCTCTCGTCCGCGCGGCTCGTACTCTCCGCGGAATCCGAAATTGCGAAACCGGCGAACGAGCGACCGGAACGAGTTTCGCGGCGACTCGCCGGCAATCTCGTACGTTTGATGAGAAAAATCCTAATGAATCTGCGCGATCGTGGTATCCGATTGAAGTTTAACCGATTAGGAACCGGTTTGATGAAACGTCATGTGATTCTCTGTTTATTTTTTTATCGTTCTGAAACACGCGGATTGTAAGGAAAACGCGTATAACCAGAATGCAGTATATTGCTTGATTCCCAGAGAAACTTTTAAAGCTACTTGCTGAGGAGTGCTTAAGTCGTGACACTTTATGACAATAGGTTATCATCGGCCACTTATTAATTGATTACGAAATGTTTGTATAGAAAATAGAAACCTTATGTACTTTGTATCGATACCGTCGCCGCAATGATTGCCGTCAGAGTTCTTCAATAATGATTCAAATTCAAAGACGAAAAACTTCAAACAATCAATTAGATGCAATCAAGTTTAAAAAAAATTAATTAATAAATTTCTTATGCAAGTTAACAATTGCAATTCGATGTGTTCTTCCGAGAAGAACAATATTTTATCTTCAAACACGTACCGAATTATAAATGTTTGTTGCTAAAAATACAATAGTATTGTAAACACTAAATAATCTGACACACAACTGAAAATTTGTTACTCGAATCGAATAACAATGTCGTAGGCATTCATAAACAGATTGCAGTGGTATAATTGCTTGTAGCATGCTCACGGCGATCTTCTGTGACAAATGCTGCGGCGATTTTAACGGAATGATCGACAAGATAATTCACCGTGATGTAAACAGCCGTGCAGCTTAATGTTTAATAATTTTCTGTATCTAATTGATTGATTTGATAGACGTTTCGCTTGTTCCGTGTGTAAATCGGTGTAGCACGTGGAATAATGAATTGATATTCCACAATATCTTGGCATTTAGGACTTCTAAAAACTGTTTACTGACAATATGCTGTTTTCTAAAAATAAGTAAGTTTTTCAATATGCTTGATCTATGCAGATCGTCCTTGATAGATTTCAATGTTTTAGAAATCTCGTTTGATTTCTAAAATGTGTATACACTAAGCAAGACCGTGAATTTTCTCTTTCCTAGTCACGCTTGATTTTTCCTTGCAACAGGTTCTATTGTCTGCCAGCACGGACTGTAATAATTATGTAAATTATGACGGTATTGTAAAATTCAATAAGTCCTACATTCCACTACTTAAAGAAACTATACTACGCTATTCGCAGTTTAATTACTCACAATTATGCAAATAATTTTCCTTTTGCACATCAATAGGTTGCGATTATAGCAAACATTTTTCTACGACTCAAAAATAAAAAGAAAAAAAATCCTCTGTTATTTATTACGTTCATAGAACGTGCAGCACGGTTTTTTTCTACTTACAAAGAATGACATTGAATTACTTTTGCTTATCGATATCCTGATCTTTACAATTAATTATCGAAAGAATTAACTGTAAATAAATAAAGCATAAAATGTGCGGTTAAGTCGTATTTCTGAAAGAGGAAGAAGGATATTTGACCAGAATGCGTGCGGGATGACGCGTCGCGATGAGCCGGACGGTAGAATCTAGAAAAAAATATACCGGTCCGCGGAGTTTCCTTTTCCTCGTCTCGAACGAGTTCTCTCGGCGGCGATTATAACGGGTGCGGATCTCGGCTTGGGTGTACGCGAAATTGGAGCGGTACTTCGATCCTTCCACGAACGGTATTCGCGTCGGTATCAACCTCCGGTGCGCGTAACGTAAGGAACAATGAGTGATGTAATCGCGAATTACAGATCCTCCGAAAGAGAAAACGAAAGGGTGTCATCACATAACGAATCATCGCGTTGCGCACATCTGCGCAACTATAAGTAATTCATGGGCATACTTAACGAACTATTGACTCGGATCTTCCGGAGCGAAGGTTTCGGCTGCGGTTTGCGATAAATGAGTTTTGATTAGGTCGCAAGAGTGTCAGAAACAATTTGTCTTGCGAGATGGAATTTGTAAAAGCGATCTATCATGTCGAATAATAGAGCACAACTAACTCGGACACTAACAAATTGAGAGTACGTGAAGAAATATTCCATAGTTTAGTTCTGAGAGACTCGAAGCTTCAAGTAACTTGAAACTCGAGACTTGAAATTTGACGTTTAAAGCGCATGTTGAAAGCTGAGAGTTGAAAGTTAAGAATAAAGGGGACGAAAATTCCAGACCGAGGCTTAAGAATTCAGCGTTAAAAGCGTTGAAAAAGCAAATTGCAGTTAAACATCGATAATTGAGACGTGAGAGAATGTGAGAATCGAGAGTTTTTACGAATGGAATTTATACTCGTTGCATCTAAACGATATTAGACGGCTTTAACAGATCTCTCCGGGGTGCTTCTCCGCGCCCCACGCTATAATACCGTAACTCTCAATGGATCTTTTTTCGCCAGCGATGCGCGTCCTCGAGCCGACGTGTAGTGACTCCTACATGTGAGACGGAAGTTGTGTGCGTGCGGTAGCGTGCGTACTACCGAGCGAGCGCATGCCTGTGTTTTCTGTGGAGTTGCTGGACCGCTCTAGGGGCCTGTATTCTCGCGTCCCCCTCCAAGTCGGCACCAAGTCGAACCGGAGGGATCCTTGGCGAGACCTATAGGGGCTCCGAGACGGTCGACTCGGGTTACGCGATCCTCTCAAGGCCCACGACCGACCGACCACCGCCTTTCGTCAATCGACGATTGGCGAGGCCTGGCGAGACTGGCAAGAATTTTCGTGAACCGCGATTGTTTCGAATATTTTTGAGAAGCAATTCTCCGCGACGATGCCTTTATTCATATATAAAATATTCGACTAGTTTCAATATTTGCATCGCACGATATTCACTTTGCATAAGCAATAGCAGAAAAGTTGGAGAGGTATCGATTATGTATCTTTTAAATTGCAAATTGCACCTCGAACTTTTGTTTCTGGCTTGTAAAATCTTATACTAGATTTTATGGTTCACATTTAATATATTCGAATTTCCAGTTTTGTATTCACACAAATGGTACACGATATAAACGTGAATTTCAATATCTGCAATTATAATTATCCGTCACATTTTCTGTCAGTCAGATTTTTCTTCATCTAATTCTGTTCTCGTATTCACTTTCAAATTCCATGCATATATCGAGAGTAGTGGTACTAACATTCAATATCGTGCAAGTTTGCGTGCCAAAGTAGGAGGTAAATGTTGATAAACATACCGGGAGAGACAGGTATCAACGGTGTTAGTTTTCTTACATCGGATTCCGGACACCAGAAAGGTCAAATAAGCGAGACTACTTTCAACGCGTACGCGTTGCAAACCATCGAGTTATCATTATCGTTCCTTTTCTTTCCATTTTTGTTAAAATATCATTATATAAGAACATGTCTCGCGGTTAACCGCGAGAATTCCGTGTTTGAATTTTAAATATTGTAATTTCAGATAGCACATGTTATGTTATTGCTTCACTGCCGCTACTTTGTATTTCACAAATTTTAATATCAATAGCGACGAAAATTTCGGACGATTTAATTAACGGTTCATTAGTGCAAACGCACAATTAATCAGCGCCGCGACCCAAGTTCACCAACGTGTTACGTATTGCGATTACATAATGAAATAATTCCGAATAGTCGTTACCGTTCGTTGTGACTTATGGTTGATGGGGATACCCAGCGGCGACACGGAATTCCGAGGGATTCGAAAGCGACCGTAGTTCCATTAGACGTGCTGCACATTCCGAGAGGCACGATAAACTCGCGACCTCGCGAAACGATCATCGATCTCATCGAATTCTGTGTGCGAGGTTGCCAAGCACCGCCGTTATTAGGAATTCAAGCGATTCACGAACGCGATTCAAAATGCGCGATTATGCGATCGCGAGTAGTTACGTATTCATGATCTTTAATTAAATCCTTCCATGTCGAAGGAAGATTTAATCAAACAAATTCGTGGACTTGACATTGGGAATTTGATGCAATAGTTGTATTCGACTTGCTTTTAATTGGATTGTGCAACACGGAAGTAACGCCTAATTGTCAATTTTCATAATTTAAAAAATAATAGCATACAGTTAACAACGGTTAGTACTTTCCAATTAATTTTCCAAGGATGATAATTATTATGGATGTTAATTAATACCCACTGCGAATGAGAACACGTGAACTAAGAAACTTGACGTGTAATTTATGAGCGCCCACTGGCAGGTATTTAATAATAAATGATATACTCGTAAATGCTTTCACCTCTTTGGCAAGCCAAGTGGCAAATTTCAAACGCAGGGCAGTGTCGAGAAAGAGAAGAATTTGCCTCACATAACATGTTTGCTTCGCGATACGTTATCTCTCGCGGATTAAGTGAATTTATGGCAAATTATCGTCAGCTTTGTTAATGTCATTTTATATATATCGCAATTGCATCAGCTGCGCACAAACATCATTATTTATACATTACTGTAGCGAGATTCTGCAAGACCTACATTATAACATGCCTTCGGTATAACATCACGAAATTTATATGAATGTAGAATTTCTTTTCTCAAGAAATGAGCGTCAAAAATTTAATTTACTCCGAAATTAAAATTCTAAGGAAATTCTTCGAATATGCCAAGATTGCTAGAATTGTTAGAATTTCTTCGTGATTTATTGCGAAAACAAGTCTGTCATCGTAAAGAAATCTGTTTTTCCTAAATAAAATGAGGTAAAAATTGTAAGATAAAAATCTAATTAAAATTAAAATGTCAAAAAACACTTCAATAAACTGTTTTTTCCGCGCGGATACTTTCAGTCGAAATCGGAAGCGGCAGCGGAAGTGTAATGTCGCATAGGTCCTTGGTATTACATCACGGATAACA